AACAATGACAACAAATTCTATCAACTATTGCAAAAAGAATTTTTACTTTTGTTGACAATTTCTATACAAAACAAAGTCAAACGAATATGGTAATTTTTTTTTAATTTTTAAATTTTTTTTTTTTTTAACTTTTTGGTAATTGAAACAAATTTTAGACGCAATGGTAGAAAAAATTATCACTTTAATGGACAATTTTCATAAAAAATGAAGTCAAACGGACACCAAACTTTCAACATTTTCCAGGTAAAAAATTATATCAATCAAACACAATTAATTACAATTCCCAATAAAACAATTTCTAGACAATTCAATTCCCAGTAAAACATTTTTTTTTCCACCTTTACAATCAAACGGACCCTTAAATCTTAACAAGGCACCGGGAGAAACGTAGTAAAACTTCTCTTTTTCATCATACTTTAATATTTTTTTTTTAAAAAAAAAAACAAAAATATATGATGGAACCCAGAAAAATCGAGACCGATTCGTCGGTTTCCAATTGAACCGGATGAGTTTCGAGTTTTGCACGTCTTTTTCTCATATGATCGGACCGTATTCCAATCTGGTTTCCAATTTCTCCTGTTCGGTACTGTCTGATTTTGAGAATATTGTTTATCAAGTAGTTGCTTCTTCATTGCTATTTATATTTCCATTTTTCCTTTTTTTGGCTTATTAATAAAAATATTAGCATATTTTAGTTGATAAGTACGGTTAATTTTAGATGGGGAAGCATTTATGGATCTGAATAAACGATACTAAAATATATTTCCCTAAATTCTCGACTTCTTACGCCCTCATATCTTCAAATTTGAGAGAGGCTAGCAAGGTGGGTGGTTTGGTGTACTGTGGTGGGCCCTGGAAGGGAGGGTGATATTCAACATTTTTTTTTATATATTCAGGTATCCTAACTTACACCAAACTATGTCCTGAACCACCCATCTCCAACTCCTCAGTAATGGGTGGAGGTTAACCGCGGGATATGCCCAATTTGACCAGGGTCTGTGCACCTTTTATACTCTTGGCCCCAAGGGAGCCTTCTTCCATGAATTAATCCATCACCAAACTGCTCCACCCAAATTGAGAATTACAACACTCAGCTGCTCCATTAAACTGCTCCACCCAAATTGAGTATTAAAACACCCAGCTACTCCATCCAGGAATCGAACCCCCCATCCTGAGATTTCAAGCCCAGTAGTGCCCATCATTTGCCAACTTAGATATGCCCCGGGGGCAATATGATATTCAACATTTGTTTGGATTTAACATGGTGGACAGATAAATGGATAAAATTATTGTAATATATAATTTTTAATTGCATTAGGTTATATTAGTCTAATTGAGGTGGTGTAATTATAAAAAGTATATTTTAAATGGGGTGAATTTAAAATGTAGTAGAACAAAAATCAATAGGAAAATTTCCTAATTAAAAAAAAAAAAGCGATTTCATAATTTTATAGAATGAAATGTTTCATAAATCACTCAACTTACATTATGGTCACGGATTGCTCACTAAAATTCAAAGTGCATCAATTTACTCATTAAAGTTTATCTATTTGCATTTCATCCATCATCCTCAAAAAATCCATTATGATGAAATTATGATGTAGCGTTTGATGACCCTTAAACACATGCAAAATCATCTTTGGCGTCCTGATCAACAAAACAAGTGCCCAAAATATTTTTTTTTTTTAAAAGTAGAATTTTTTGTATTTTTCACATAAAAACCAATTAAATTAAAATAGTTAAATCAAAATATCAAAAAGAAAAAGATAAAAAATAATAAATTCCTTCTTCTTACCCACGCACTCCGACCACCACCCCATTAAACTGAAACCTAGAAAAATCGACCACAATTCGGCCACCACCTGCCATCACCAACCACAAAACCCAAAGCCTAAACTAAAACCCAAAACCACACCTTCATTTGTTCCATTTCTCATCCATTGTTGACAACATAATATAGGCTATACAAACACACTAATATTCATGTATAATTTGGAGCGTGAAAGAGGTTCAAGAATCTAGGGCCTGTTTGGTACAGATTCTCATTTTCTACAGTAAATCAATTCTCATTTTCAACCACACATTTTTCAATAAAATAATATTTTCCATCACATCAATACTTTTTTCTTCTTTTTCAACCAAATATTTCACATCATATCACTATTCAAAAATCAATTCTTCCCTCAAAAATCCCTACCAAACACACTCCTATTTTCATTTTATAAGGACTAAAATCACTTAATTGACTTTTTTTACCCCATATTGTAGGGTGGATCTCAAAGAGAGTAGAAAAAAATTGTAAACATTTGATAGTAAATATAGGATATCAATGTGGCTAGCGCGGCCCTGGAAAATTCTAAGATGGGCAGGCTCGTGACTCGATGGTGTTGGGCTTCCCTCCTAGTGAGAGCCCATCATTTGTGGTAAGGGGGCCTTTCCACTTGGGCCCAAAACTACCAATGTATATACCAAGGAAAGGGACCAAATCAATACATATATACAACAGACACGACAGAGAGCAACGAGAGTGAGAGAGATAGCGAGGGTTCGATCATTCTTGCCATAGATTGGAGGTCTTTTTGAGGTCCGATTTTACTGATATTTTAGTATGTTGTTAATGGCAAAGATGGCTACATTTTGACTGGAGTTGATCATCCTGACTCCTCTCCATTTCTCCGGGCTTTGCACACTGCTTAGTGAGATTTTCTCCATTTTATAGTGTGTATTTGGTTTATAATGTTGTTGTGGTTGATATCCAAGAATTAGATGAATTCTTGATGTTGTGGTAGCCTCAAGAGTGTGTTCTTGAGAGGTTTATTGTGTATCCCATTATTTTATAGTGGAAGGCTTTTACCGGACTAGATCCCGGGGTTTTTCCCTTCACAGGGTTTTCTTCGTTAACAAAAATCTGGTGTTCAATTTATTTTCTTGCTAATGTGTGTGAGTTGGTTGGAGCTAGCTATTACTCTTGTCAACAAAATTCTGTACATTGAGGGATAGGAATTGTTTCCACTGCTTGTGTATTGTATTGGTTCAATCCCCAACATATGGGACCGAGCCGAGGCATAGGTCGAGTTCCATTTTGGAGCATCGGCTCGAGCCCAAACCAGCCCATGTGGCCCGTAAAGACCGAGCCTAAAAAAATTGTAATTTGCAAAACTTACCAAAAAAAAAAATGCAGGCATCTAAAATTATAGCTACTTGCAACCATACTATTTATATATTTTTTAAAAATCGAGCCTACTCGGCTTGCCAAGGCCCGAGCCAAAAGTTTGGATCGAGCCTTAGTTTTTAAGGCAAGTTTTTGCTCGACTTGGGCCAAAAACAGTCGGAACCATTTTTACTCGAGTTTTCAGGTTCGGCTCGTTGACACCTCCAAGTAAATATGTGGAGGATTTCATTAAATCTGTTGGAACAGGGGATTGAGCCAGTCTAGGTATAGGCTAATTCCATCGCCGAATTGATGGGTTCATCTTCTTATTGCAGCTTTTCCATTAATGGCTCGAGATTGAGATCTACAGAAAGCAAATAGGTTGATTTTGGTGAAGAGTATATTCAATTATTCTTACATATGGAAAGAATAGCAACAAAGTGTAGAAATTAGAGCTACCCACAAAGCTATCATGCATCAGTGAGAACATATGATATGGGTTATTCAGACAGCCAACTGACTTCATGGTTGGTGCCTATGATTGTTGTCGTTAACCTTGAAATGTTTTTGTTGGCTGTGGCAGGAAGCGGTGGTGGTGGTGGGTTAATTTGGTTTGGTTTGTTAAGAGGTTAGGGTGGGTGGGTGGCATGGATGGAGCGGGATTAGGAAAAGGATGAACAGTTCCTTTT